CTCTTTCGCGGATTTTCCTGCGAAATTCCTGCGTGGTCTTCTCGGCGAAGTGAAGAGAGTAAGGAAGAAATCCGTATCTTGGCATATCTCGCACGGAAGCGCGAAAAATTCGCGGGGACAAGATAACATCGATTACGGTCTTTCTCCGCGACCTACGTGCGTTCTTTCCTCTCGTCGTGGATTCCCCCCCTTCTCCCTTATTCGTCTCGATCAGATCAAAAGGAAGGAAGAAACCCGCGTCTCTTTTCTTCTTTTCGCACGTCTTGTACGAAGCGAATAGAATCCGCAGGATAAGAGAAAACCGATAACGTGAGACATCTATTTCTGGCCAGCACCTCTCTCTCTCTCTCTCTCTCTCTCTCTCTTGTTCTTACGAAATCTCGTTGTATTTGATCCGTCGGCCGACCTAAACGGCGAAATCGACCTCATCGAGTCGCCGCAGGCGGTCGTGGAATTTTCTCTAACGGCATGCGATCGACGTGTCCCGAGCGCGACACTCGAAGATTAATTAGTTCCGCGTGTCGCGAGTCGACTCGAAGGAGAAAGAGAGAGAGAGAGAGGGGGGGAGTGAGAGGGAGGGAGGGAGGAAGAAAGAACGTCGCCGCCGCAGTCGTCGCGGCAGCCGATTGGAAAAGTGCGCGATATCGACGGCGACTCGATGCGCCGTTACGTTCCGCGCTCTCTTCATTATTCAATTGACAACAATTTGCCGCGCGCGATCTCGCGCCTTCGCGACGTCGACCGACGGCGCGATTTTCATCGTCGCTCGTCGACGCGGCCGCTCTCCGCGCTCACCTTTTCCCTCGTTTTTCTCTCGTTCGCGACAACTTCGCGATCTGAACTGAACCGGTGCGAAGTGCGAGTAAACGCGCTTGTGTGTGTGTGTGTGTGTGTGTGTGTGTGTATGCGCGTGTGCGAGCGAGTCTCGAAGGTGCACGCTCCTCGGGGTTGTTCGCCCAACACAGCGACGCCGCGGCCGTATAAACACGCCGTTACGTTGATCTCGGCGTTTGCATAAATGCATATGCAACGTACAAAGTGGAGGCACTCTGAATACTTGTTGCGAACGCATGCATATGCGATCGATGTTGCGCCGGTGATCTACATATACGCCGGTTGATAGCGCAAAATGACGAGCACAAAAATGGGACAAACGGATCCGAGCGCGGTGTCGGCGATGTATATTCATTAAAAAGTGCGCGGCCCCCCGGCAGGAGGGGGAGTCCGGAGTTTCGGGCTCTCGCACGGCCGCGACCCAATTTGCCGCCGTCATCGTCGTCGTCGTCATCGTCGTCGGAGGAGAACTTGCGCTTGCGAGCGTCGCCGCGAAATCGTCGAAATAGGACGATCGCGCCGTGTCACGAACGCAACGGCCCGGATTGGAGAAGAGTGAGGAGGCTCTCCCTTTCTCTCTCTCTCTCTCTCTCTCTCTCTCTCTCCTGCGCAAGGTACGCGTGCTTCTTCGTCCCCACGAGACAGTCTTCGTCCTTTATTCCTGTCCCGTTGCCGCCGAACTCTTGACTGACGACGGCTGGAACGAGGAAACGGAGGTCCTTGGGAGAGACGTTGAAGTGAGAAGATATGCTCGTCAAATGATGATCGATCTCTCGAGCGGGTCTTGAAGATTATCTGAACATGCTTACCTTTCGCCCCAACAGTTATCTTTTCAGCTTAATTTTTCTCAGGATTCTGTCGCGTTAATTTCGCGGTTATTGATCGATCGTTTGAGCGAAAGGACAGTTTTCTTTGGAGTAATTTTTAAATCCTTCCTCAGTCGATCACGTCATTTTGTAAACATGTCCTTCTTTGCATATGTTTTTCAACACATACATTAATAAATCTAGTCTAAGGAATCAATCTGAAAAATAAATCTATAACATATACATAAGTTAGAAGCGAGAATATATATTCTAAAAATTCTTGCAAAATATATTTTATATATATATATATTTTTTTTCTTTTTCAACATATTTTGCAAGAGTTGAGAGGCATTTTCTCATCTCTGACGTCATAAACCAAGATGACCGCGGCGAAGAGACAGGAATCTTAAGGATGAAAGATTATTAACATAAGAGTTAGTGTTGGATGTCGACCGATAGCTTGAATCTTAACGGGAAGATAAGAAGTTGTTCGATAGCGTATTGTACATTATAGATTTATTTTCTAGACTTCAACGTATATGGAATACCGTAAAGTCCAGTCAGCCACGGTCAAACCTTTCATCATTCATTTCGACCTTGCATCACGCGCTTTGTGTGATTACAAATTTTTAATCAGATTTCAAAAATTCAAATCATGGTAGATCCAATATGGCTGCCTTATAGGGGTTAGGTCAGTATGAGTTTGAATAAATCAGACACAGGATATAAAGGGTTTTCAGATTGTTAATTACGGATTTCATGTCAGAATTCCAAATTTATTCAAATAATTTGTTTATAAAAAAATGCAGCTTGAAAAAAATTCTGGAAAAATTATATTATATTTTGACATGTGAAGAATATTCAGTAAAACTTTTGATCTCTAAAATCTCAAATACTTCTCAAGAAATTAATTTTTTTTAAATCGTTTTTTCTCACGTCTATTTGTCTATAAAAAGTTAAAAAAAAATCTTTGTTTATAAAAAAAATTCTGAAAAAATATATGTTATATTTTGACATGCGAAGAATATCCAGTAAAATTTTCGGCCTCTAATTTAAAATATTTCCCAAGAAATAAATTTTCTTTAAATCGTTTTGTTCAACTTTATTTGTCCATGAATAATTAGAAATAAATCGGACATAAGAAGTATAGGAAACATGTAAAGTAAGTAACAATATATCAGAAAAATGTGAGATCATACTTATTTTCATTAAACTGTAAACAGTACAATCCATTATAAAAATGAAAAAGTGATGAGTGCATTTACCATTGCCACATGAAGAGTTAATAATCTAAATGTTAATTAATCGTCGCGCCCAATGCAGCAGTGGCTCTTATTAGTCTTCCATTCTTACTGATTATTTACCATCAGAGCTTTCACCGTCCTCCTTTGATCCTCTTCCTTGTTTTGTGGGAAAACACTTCTGCGCGCGACCAATTAGCGCTGCGTTTCCTTATTTTCGCCGTCCATAACGCGCGCTGACTAATCGAAGGAATCAATATTTAAATTGAACCTCGATCCCCCGTCTCCTTTTTCCTCGCGTATAAAGATGGAATCTTCGAGTGTCTTCTCAAGTGGAACGAGCAAGCCTCGCTCGATTCTTATTACAAAAAAGGAAAAAGAAAGAAATAAACAATTTTCGTTTCTACATTAAATTTTCTACATTTAAATTCGCCTGTTCACTTTGGGAGAAAGTAAGAGAGATTAAAAAAGTATAGAAAGTGAAGATGATTAGAGCCAAATTGCAGGTTTAATCTGCATATATTTTTAATATACAGTGCACATATGGTGCGTAATATTTATTGTATATTATAAATATCTTCAAATTAGATATGAAAAACATTTAGGTTTTGTATAAAAGATCCTCCTTTTGATTAAAGAGAATCACAGAATCTTATAATTATTTATTTAAGTAGAGAGAGAAGGAGAGAGATATCTTTCTCTTTTTTTTTATATAAATATATTTCAAATCCGATATAACCTCAAAAACTCCGTAATGTTTATCTTTTTAATATGCACGTACAAGAAGAGAACTGCTCGATTAAAACAACTCGATCCACAGGACGGAGTGATCGCCTCTTCTCGTCCTTTCCTCTCTACTTTTAATTTGTATCAAAGAGCCTTGTAATCATTTGCCTGAACAAAGAAAGAAAGAGAAAGAGAAAGACCCTCTCCTGCACTTATGTTTAATTTCTTCACTCCTAGATAAGTTCTCGATAACTTCATACGACAGACATTTCCTGGAATCGGTTTTCTTCATTCTTGTGAGGTTTGTATCCGGTAGATAAACTTATCCTCTACCTGAAGTAGCGAATGTCTGGTAGATATCGATTTGTAATATAACCTAAATATAACCTGATAACCTAAAAGATTACAAGAGTACGTAATCGTTGCAATTTTTATGAAAATACAAACATAACAGTTGCTCGTGGATATCGATATTGTTTAATCTGATGATGATGGCGATGATGATGATCATGTATTTCTGGATCTTAGACAATAAGTTACATATACAATAAGTGCTATACAATAAGTTACTATACAATGACAAATAAACCGAACAATTTTCAAATGTTGGATGACACCTGATTTTTCTAACGACTTCGTTTGGAAAAAGATATAGAGTGCTCTCCCCTTAGGAAAAATTACTTCAAATCTTTAAATTAACTTAAAATTATCTATAGTTAACTGTAAGTAATTTATAGTTAACTACAAGTAACTTTAGGTTAATTTGAACATCTTAAAGTAATTTTTCTTAAGGGTCTCTCTCTCTCTCTCTCAGTCTCTCTCCGGCAGAATATGGTAATTTACAGCGCCGAAAGCTAATGGTGCGAAGAACAGCTATCCCTTAGATACGTACCCTAATAGTACAGATGTCCAGAGAACGTCCCCAGGAGAACATGTGCTATCAGGGTAATCAGAGGTTTCAGCCAGGAGAAGGAATTTTTGGTTACCTGATGGCTATATTTATTTGGAAGATAGCTATTGGGAGGTACGAAGAGAGAAGCCGGGCATTTTTACACAGATACCGTACACTTCGTAATCATCATCCTCTTAGGATATAAGCCGCGCGACACGAAAACAAGCCGATTTCCCACAGAACATGGCGATCGCGCGTGTCGAGCCGCGCGGTTACTGCGCCTGCGCGCGCGCGAGCGGAGTCGCTTAGCCGGCCGCGCGCTATTGGCTGACCGGCCGGCCGGTCGCGGAAATTCGATTCTCTCGTCACGTCTTTCTCCCGTCCTCTCTCTCTTTCTCTCTCTCTCTCTCTCTTTCTCTCTCTCTCTCGCACTCTCTCTCTTCCCCTTTCTCTCTCCACCGCATCTCTCGCCGCTCACCTTACGCGCGAACGAGCGAGCAAGCGAGACGCACGGCGTTTCCCAAGGGAAGCCCGTTCCGGTCGCGCGGATGGCCGAGTGTCAGTACGTCGACGGCGTCGGTCTCGCGCGCATGATTGCCATTCCTCGTCTCCGCGACTCCGCGAGTAAACACACACACGTACACGCATACACACAGGCGCGCGCGCGCGTGTCCCCTGTGTCTCTTCCTGCTCTTCCTTCCTCGTCGCGAAAAGCAGCCGGCCGGAGATGAGTTACGCGGCCCGCGGACGCTGAGGAGGCGAACGCGCGCGCGCGCAGTCGGGGACCTCCTCGCGGCTGGGAACGCCGCCTGCACGACGCTGCTGTCCGCGCGGGTGGTGCGCGCCGAACGGTCGATTCGCAGCCTAGGTACGTAGATCGCCTGTAGATCGTGGATCATTCCTCACGGCCGGAAGTAGCAATGGCCGAAAGCGACGCGACGCTGCTTCTGCTCTTCCCCTTTCGCGGACCCTCGCATCTCGCGCAGGAGCGAGATGAAAGATCGATTGCGCCTTTTTCTCGCGTGAGCGCATGCTGGAATTAGCATACAGTAGCGGTCGTCCTTCTGCCGAGGAGCAGAGAGAGAGAGAGAGAGAGAGAGAGAGAAAGGAGGATGAGAGAGAGAAAGGAGGGTGAGAGAGAGAGAGAGAGAGAGAGAGAGAGAGAGAGAGAGAGAGAGAGAGAGAGGGAGTCATGAATGCAGCGTCGAATAGTTGGCGTTATCGCGGCGCGAAAATCACACGTTCTTTTTCCGCAACGTGACATCAGTCGCGATTAAAACGCCTCGCCAGACTGTTTATTACTTGCGTACGTGCCCGTTGTGCCGGACAGCGATCATTAAAAGCCGATTTTTGCGTTGCGCAACGCGCTCGCCGCGCGAGCGAAGGGAATTTGTTAAATGTTAATATTATTGGCGACCTCTCACCGATTTCGATCACCTTGACATATGCTGTCAAGGACGGGGTTCTGGCTAACTTGTAAAAGTTGTAGCCGTCGTTCGTTGTTTATTGCGAACAATTAAAAGTAATGACCGACGACGTGGCGTATGTAAATATACATTCCTCAGCGGATTTTTTCTAATTTTTCTTTTAATTTTAAACTAATATAAATTAACTTAATGTAGTCAGCTCTCTTTCTTCGCCTTTGTGAGAATAAATGAGTCCATTATGTACTAAAAATAAAAACGATAAAGAAAGAATTGAAAGAATTAAGAAAGGATTAAGCAAAGAAATAAATAAATAATAGTTTAGCAAATCTTGCGTAAATATATTCGCTGATCTTTACATAATTTCCACTTTTAGTTTATGTTAGACGCATTCGTTTGAGAAGACGATAATTTCTCTGGGAAAAGGGCTTATTAGCTATTAGATTAGGTTAGGTTAGGTTAGATTAGATTATTAAATTACCGTATGACCACAATTTATCGTAACTCTCTATCTTCTTTCTATTTCTTCGTGTAAAGTTGGTGTAATTCGTGCGGCAATATGCGCAATCTTATTCTCCAAACTTCGTTCAGCCATTATCTTCAATTGTTCATTACTTCGCGACGAACAACGAACGCCGGCTACAACTTTTTGCAAGTTAGTCAGAGTCATGTCCTCGAAAACACATGTCAAGGTCATGGAAATCGCTGAGAGGTCGCCACTAATATTGATATCTACCGGAAATTTTCGCGCTCGGCGTCGAGCTGAAACGGCCTTTTCTGCTTTTCTTCCTCCCCTCGATGGCGCGCGACTTTCGGCTGCCGCATCAGCACTCGTGGCATATACATGCTGAAACGACGAGAAATCGGCCAGTCATCGTGAAATAGCCGCGAAATAGTTTCGCGAGCGAACAGCGTGCGAACGCAAGACCAGGAAGAGAGAGAGAGGGAGAGGGAGAGAGAGAGAGAGAGAGAGGAGGGGGAGGCTAAGCTTTGTTGGAGCGTCTAGTTGGAGAAATCGATCGACAAGGGAACAAAGGGGAATCCTCTTCTTGTGCGAGGATACGTCGTCCGATCGAAGGCATTTCGCTTCGTTGTAATAAAAACAGCCGTCCGGTCGCGTTTGAAGAAGGCAACTTGCAGGAAAATGGCGTAACTGAATTTCCCGTTGCCCGGGAAGAACAAGAACTGGGTGGAAAATTCGGCCACGCGGCACGAACCGAGAAATTTCCATCCGGGCTGTCGGGAGGAACGTTCTCGGTCGCGATAACGAACAACATGGCGGATGTTTGTCTCGTAACCCTTTTTGAGTTACATGCACGCTCGGTTTGTGTAACCGAGCGGGCAATTTTCTTTTCCCTTTTATCGCGCCGGGGGCAAAGGTTCGCGCGAAGATGGGAGATCGGGATGTTTCCACGATCGGCGGACTTCGGCCGCGCTTCCTGAAATTCTGACCCGCCGCCTGCGGAGGTCGTACGTGTTTTCTAGGCTGGCGTTTCATACATTATACAATTCTTTCTTCACATCCACGCTTGTCCGTTGTCGTTACACGGCTGAACGGTTATGATTGATGGAGCGCCGCCGCGCCACTGTTAACTGGCGCTAGAATGCGGCATAATAATACGGCTGCGATTAGGTCGAGAGATGATGGGACGACGCGAGCTTGTCCTCCTCTCGCCGTGCCGGCGAGACGAAATTCTCGACCGTGTGAGTTTCCCCGAGAAATTTCGTCTCCGTTGCCACGTTTGAAGTTTCGTGATAATCGGCGAATCAATGGCGAAAATTAATTCATCGTTGAATAATACATAGTTGCGAATAATCTCGTCGGTCGTGCGATGAAGCTCTTTATTCGTGTGCATTATAATCGAGGGAATCAGTTGAGACAATCGTCATCGATTGTTGTAATCGCGACTTGCTGGATGTCGATTTTGATTATTTTCGTTAACCTTTTGTGTTTTGTTAACCCCACATTTCTTACTTAACAGATTGCTAGGGAATCTTGCATTTCTATGTTTTTTGGATCATTGATAATCTGAAGTCAGATTTCAAAAGTTCAAAATGGCAGATTCAATATGGCGGCCGTGTAAAAGTAAATTAATATAAGCCTGAACAGATGTAAATTAGATATACAATATAAAGATTTTTCAGAGCGTTAATTACGAATTTCATGTCAGATTTATAAAATTCATTCGAGTAATTTGTTTATACAAAAAAGTCTACAAGAAAATAAAAAAAAGCTTGCGAAAATTTCTGGAAATAATATATATCATATTTTGACGTGAAGAATATTAAAATTTTCGGCCTCTAATCTCATATTTTTCAAAAATTAAATTCATTTAAATAATTTTTTTCTCAACTTTATTCGTCTATAAAAAATTCTTTAAAAAAATTCTTATTTGTTTATAAAAAGCTATTGGAACAAATGCATGTTATATTTTGACATGTGAAAAATGTTCAGTAAAATTTTCAGCCTTTAATTTTGAATAGTTCCCAAGAAATTAAGTTTATTTTTAAATGGTTTTTTCTCAACTTTATTTGTCTATAAAAAGTTCTTTAAAAATATCTTTATTTGTTTATAAAAAGATTCTGGAAAAAATATATATTATATTTTGACATGTGAAGAATGTTCAGTAAAATTTTCAGCCTTTAATCTCAAATTTATTTAAGGACAATTATATTTCCCGGGAAATTAAATTTGTTTAAATTGCTTTTTTCAACTTTATTTATCTATGAATAATTAAAAATGAACCATCGAATATAAAAACATGTAAAGTATTAGTACATCAGAAAAATATGAGATCATATTTATTTTCATTAAATTGTAAACAGCACATCGTAAAAATGAAAAAAGAAAAAGGTGGCAAGGTATATTTATTGCCACACACAAGGGGGAACTACAATTTTATCGCCGCGGCCATCGAGATATAATCGCGTTCAGGAAACATAACGGTTGGCTGAACGCTCATTGTCATTAGAATTTTTCTTAGATCTGTGATGAATCTAAACGTACATCCAGTAAAAGTAATAAACAACACTGATCACTCGACGATTATGAAGCTGTTTGTATTTTTTTCAATGCACTCGATATATGAAATTCGACAAGATCTTTCCGGCCGTTCATCGAGATCTCGCAAGATGGAAACGTCGGATAAATTTAAAAGCGCCAGATGTTCAAGAGATAGAGGGAGAGAGAAAGAGAGATGGGCATCGCGTGCATCTCGCGTGGAATAGAAACGGCTCGTAAAACCTCGCGACATTGATTTGCAATCGTAACGGGGCTCGTTCGTTCCGTTGTCAGGGGCGATTGACTCGATCAAAGTTGCATGCGAGCCTCGTTATTTATTGCGGGAGCGTCTAATCAAATTTTCCTAAACGCGCAGCTGTGTGCTTCGTCCATGGTTCAAGTTCAATCGTTTCGCCGATACGTATCGCAAAATTGCTTATTATTCAACGAGGCCATTTAGCTACGTCCAAATCAGGGTGACCTCCCCCGAGGTAAATTATTTTTAAATATTATGGCGTACACACGGAAAAGCCGATCCTTAGGATCAGTGGTGCCAGGATCCGCGAGCTTGCTACGTTCCTTTACGTCGGTGACAAATGTCGTCTGCACGAATTTCCAGCCGGCCTCGCCGCACGTGAAATTTTCCTGTCCACAAAAGGTTTTTTCAACGGAGTGGTTCCTTTTCACTGGTTCATCCGGTGAGTTCAGGACCGGTCGCAATCTCTTCATTGCGACAAAATCCGGCCGAAAAGCGACGAGGATAGTACAAAGCCTTCAAAAATGTCTTAAAGGTGCTTAAAGACACATTTTACTCCTTTTTGTTGATGTTTCCTAGAAGTCCGGTACTTCCTACAGTCCGTTTCCTACAGTCCGCATAAAAATTTCTCAGAATTGTTTCTCAGGCCCAGCATACATTGCGATTAAAATATTAAAATTTGCTGCAAAATTAGTTGTCCGATTTATTACGATAACAAATTAAGAGACCCATTCATATCTCATTTTCTTACCAACTATCCAATAATAATAAAAATTTCATTCAATTGCATTCAATTTTTGCTATCACAGTTATATTCAATGATAATAAAAATTTAACAAGAACAGAAAATCAAAAGAACAAAATTCCAGTGTGAAATGAGAATTTGAAAGAATGTTGGGAAAGTTTTGTGTTTTCCGTTCAGAATCGCTTAAAAAATGAAATTATATTTAACTTGAAACTGTTTAGGTTTCAGGAAAAGATTAATTGTTAATATAAATTATAATCATGCAAGTCGAAGTAAATAATTCAAGCGATTATTAATATGTGATCATAATTTATTCGAAGTTGGGTTCGATTATTTTAGTCAATTGCAGTTTTAATGTCACGGCCATCGCGAGACGAGGCTACCTTCAGGAAATACAACGGTTGACTGAGCGCTCATTGTCATTAAGGTATTTTTCTGAATC